TTTTTTTTTATTTTTTTTTTTTTTTTTTTTTAGTATTTTTTTTTATTTTGTTTTAATTTGAATTGATTTGTCAATTATATATTTTTTTTTTTTTTTTTTGTTGTTGATACATAATATTCAACATATAGATATGAAAAAAAATTTTTAAAAAAGAAAAAAAATGATGTCTAATGAAAAATGTGGTAGCAAAATTCACGTGTTTGTCATAAAGAATATTGTGGGTATTGAAAAAGAGAAAAAAGGCTTAGATGAAGAAGAAAAAAAAAAGGAAATAGGGGATTTAATCGAAGTAAATAACAATGAAGATACAAAAGACAATATAATAAATATGAATGAAAAAAATACAAATAGAAAAAATGAAAAAAAAGAGGAAATTATAACACATAAAATATATTACCCCCAAGTAAAAATAGTGAAAGTTAGCTGTGGAAAATCAATAATTGGTTTTTTATCAATTGTTGGAAAAATATATTGTTGGCATTTAAATAATTTTAATGATTTTGATAAAAATGTACCTTATTTATTAGTAGATAGTATACTAAAAAATAAAACTATACATGATGTAAGTAGTGGGCATCATCATATTGCATTTTTATCAAAAGATGGGGAATTATTTACTTATGGAGATAATACATACGGTCAATTAGGTAATAATAGCATAAATGAAAATGATTATTTAGAAGAAATTGATAACGATAAATTTAACAGTGCAAATAACTGTAAAATAAAGAATCAAAAAAAGTATAAAGTATATAAAGTGGATGTACAAAATAATATTGTTAAATGTGTTTATTCTTCTGAAAAATATACATTATATTTAACTATCGATGGTTTATTGTATGGTTTTGGTTTAATAAATGAATATTTTATTAAAGGAAAAATGAATAGAAATAAAATAAATAAAGTTTTAACAAAACCACATCATATATATACAAATGATATAGCTTTTAAAAAAATTTCTATTGGCATAAATTTCATTCTGGCTATAAATTTTAATAATTTTATATATTCGTGGGGACAAAATACTAATGGAGTTTTAGGTCATAGTAATTGTATAGATTCATATGAACCTAAAAAAATTGAAAATTTGAAGAATGTAATATTTATTAGTGCTGGTAAAATAAGTTTATGTAAAACAATGGAAGAAGAATTATATATATGGGGAGGTAATTATGGAAATAAACCTAATTTAATTAAAAACAAATTTGATGATATGCACATTAATAATAATTTTATCATTGGATTATGTGGAAAAAAAAATTTATGGGTTAAAAATATTGATAATTTATCTCACGGTTATTATATCAACAATTTAAAAATAAACTTGTTGTGCTCATATGATAATTTAATTATAGGTGTAGAAAACTATGAAGAAGAAAATGATTTAAATGAAAAGAAAAATGTTAGACAGTTTGAGTGTAAAAACAATTTCAATAATTTAAATACATCTGTAGATATTACAGAAAATGGGGTAAACTTAAGAAATAATCCAATAGATATTGTAAATAATTATATATTGTTATCCGATGAAAGTAAAAAATATACTAATGATATCACTAATAATAACAATAAAAATATTAATAATAATGATATTAATGATAATAATATTAATAATACCAATATCAGTAATAATAATAATATCAATTTCAACAATAATGATAATAGTACTATTAATTCATCAAAAAATAAGAAAGTATTGAGTCGTAATTTGCATAAAAACGAAAGTAAACAAAATAACTTTAAAGATTCTAATAATACAGATAATTTTAATTGTATAAAAGATAATATTGTTGTAAATAAAACTAATAATTATGAATATAATAATGAATGTGATAATACAATTGATAATGAAAAGAAAGAATTTAATAAAAATAATGAAAATATCCATAATATTGAAAATAATTGCGATGATGTATATAAAGGAGCATGTTGTTTTAAAGAAATAGATTTTTCTAATGGAAACAAAAACTCCACTTTACTATCAAATAATAATGAACAAGATAAAAAAAATACGAAAAGAGCTATATCAAATGAGGATTTTAATGAAGATTCAAAGAATATATTAATGAAAAAGGAATTAAATATAAATAGAGAATTGAATATTCAGAATGTTTCCTTAGAGAATAACAGTATCATTAATGAAGAAAATAAAAATGATTATATAAAAGAAATGGGGAAAAGTGTTACTAATTTAAATTATGTTAACAACATTCACAGAAATAATAACAACAAAAATGATTTGAGTAATTCTTCCTTAGAATGTATAGATGACAAAGAATATAACACATATTATGATATTCCATGCAAAGAAAATAAAATAATCGAATGTAAAAATAATGAAAACAAGAATTTGTACACAAATTGTTATTATGAATTGAATGAAGATAAAAATAAAAAGGAAAATGAATGTAATTATATAAAAAGTGATGAATCAAATATAAAAAACAACTATTATAATGAAATAGAAACAAATGATAACTATATGGAAAACAAGGAAGATTATATAAAAGGTAATTATGAGAGAAATCATGAGTTAGAAATGGAAAATGAATGTTATGATGAAGATTATGAAGATAATAATTTTTATGATGAAGATGATTCTAATAGTATAAGTCATAGAAATATAATAATTATTAATAATAAAGTAACTGAAAAATATCAGTTTAATTTAAAATCATCTTTAAAAAAATATCCAAGTAGTGAAAGAATAAAAAAAACTGTATCTTTTTCAAATTATGTATATGATTTAGCGAAAAATAATTATGAATTAATAAATTTAAATTCAAATGATGAAATTAGTTTATCAGAAGAAGAAAAAGAAAACAAAAAGTTTTCTTATGATGATAATATAAATAAATTTTCTACTAATTATTGTTATAACGTTCATAACATTAATGATGAAGATAAGACAATTCCTAAGATAAATAAAAATGAAAGTAATTTAAAAGAAAAACTAGAAAATGAAGAAAAAGTAACATTAAATGATTTTCAAAATAAGTCTCTTAATGACTCTTCGTTTAATTATAAATTAAATAGTAGTATAAATTCCTGTGAAAATACTAGAGAGCATATACAAAAACAGAAATTATGTAGTCAAAATGTAAATGTCGTTGAAGAGGATTCAGTAAACTATAAGCATGATTTATTAGCTGATATACCGACAAATTCTAAAGAAAATTATACTTTACTTAAAGATGAAATGGGAGAAGAATTAAAAGAAAATGAAAGCATAGAAACGCATAGCATAGTTAACAATAATAATATTTTAGTAGCAGATAGTTCAAATGAGTTTCCTAATTTCTGTGATTTAAAAGATAATAATGACAAAGGAACTACGAATAGAATAATTAATGAAGAATTAAAAAATGAATGTGTATATAATAATAAATGGAAAAATAAAGTGGTTGATCATGAAGAAAAAAATAATATTGAATATATAAAAGAAAATGATAATGCATATTTAAATATAGAGGGAAAACAGAAGGTTAATATAAATTCGGATAGCAAAACAGTGAAGGTAGACTATAGTGATAATATACATCCTGAAAGTTGCATAACTTCTAAAACAAAATTCTTATCAAAAGAAGATCGAAAAAGTAGTATATATAATTATAAGGATATTAGTTCATGTGAATTTAATGAAAAGGATGGTATAAGCAAGAATTATGTAAATAGTAATATAAGCGATATTAAAAGTAATACTAATAGTAAAAATAATAATGATAGATTATCTGGAGTAAAATTTTCCTTTAATTCTTTATCATATCCTTTGAATAAAAAAGAAAACATAAACCTTTCAAACAATAAAAATGAAATTAAATGTAAAAAAGAAGATTCTAATTTAAATAAAAACTCACATAAAATGAAAAAGGGACTATATAAATTAAATTTTTTTTGTAACAATGATAATTCCCAAACTAACGATTTTGTATATAATTCAATAAATTGTGTGAATATGGAAGAAAAGGAAGATAAACATTTAAAAAAAAATGAAAACAAATACGATGAAATAAATAATAGAAAAATATCTAGCGAAGATGCAATTAATAAGAAACTTAGTAATGAAGGAATGTATAATGAAGAACAATATATTGAAGAACAATATACTGAAGAACAATTTAATGAAGAACAATTTAATGAAGAACAATATAATGAAGAACAATATAATGAAGAACAATATAATGAAGAACAATATAATGAAGAACAATTTAATGAAAAAAATATTGAAAACGATTTTAATGATGTACATTTAGAAAATAAATATGATCAAGTATTAATTGATAAAAATATGTATAGTGAGGATGCTAACGATGAGATAAAACATGTTGAAGGGAAAAATAAAATGAAGAATAATATAAAAAGAAAGTCTAATAATATATTAACAAATAAAGTAAATACGACAAAAATAAGCAAATTAAAATCTAAGATGATAAATTTAACGCATAATGTAAATAATAATAGTAACAATAAATATATGTCTTATGAAAATAATAACATGAAACTTGTTAAGAATAATAAAAAAGATTTAAAGGAATGTAAGGACATGAATAAAAATGATTACTTTGAATATATACTTCTAAAAAAATTAAGAAGAAATTTAAAAAAAAATAAAGAATGTAATTATTATGAAATGAGGAAAATAAAAAATGTTTTAGGTTTCTTTAAAAATAATGAAGTAATAAATATGACTAAAAATTTAAAATTGAAATCGACTATAAATAAAAAAATGAAAAGTAAAATAAATAAAATGCAAAATGTTTTAAAAATTTTAAAAAAAAATAAGAATTTTAAATTATATGAACCAGTAGCAATAACAAAAAAAAGTAAAAGGAAATATTTAAAAAAAGAAGCTATTCACTTGAATTCTAAAAGTAGACAAATAAAGGATGTTAGTGTAAAGATAAATAAATCCAAATTTATTTGTAATGAAGAAAAAAATATTAATATTACTAATAATAGTAATACTAATAATATGTTATTACACCAAGATGAAGAAATATATTATAAGCAAGAGAACAATAAAAAAAAAGATAAAGATCTCATTATTAATAAAAACGTATTAAATAATACAAAAAAAGTAACATTAACATTAAATCATAAAAATGAAAAAAAGATTAAAGATCTTCTAACTATAGATAGTAAATTATCAGAAAATAATAACTGTATTAATAAACAAAATAATTTGAAAAGAAATTTAAGTGAAGGAAATATAACAAAATTGAAGGCTTCTAATATAGGAAAGAAAAGAAGTTTAAGTAATAAAGAACATATAATAAATAACAGAAATATTACAAATGATTCAAAAAAAAATACCTTTATAAAAAATGATAAAAAAAAATTGGAGAAAAAAAAAAGTGATTATCAAAATAAACAAATGTTTATGTCATGTTTAAGCTTGAATACGTTAAATAAAAGTTACTTAGATGGTAATAATAAAAATGAATATGGTGAAAAAAAGATTACATCAAATATAAAAAGAAACGTATCAGCATGTACTATATCAAATACTAATACTAATAATAATAATTATTACCATTTAAATAATTACTCTAAATTAAAAGAAAACGATTATTTTTCTGATTCTGATAAAGTAACAAATGCTACTATCCATTCAAAGGGTATTTGTAAATCAAATAATATTAGTAATTATGATTACAAAAACTTATGTGATGCATATAATAGTTGTAATGATATATTGGAGATGGAGAAGCAAACATTTAGAATAAATTCTTTATCATTTCAAGATATTAAAAATTCAAAGAAAGAAGAATTGAGAGTTCCATCTATTTCTGATATAACTACGAAGGTGGGGAAAAATATATCTTTTAAATCAGCTAGTAATAACTATATGCATACAAATGACAATAATAATATTAAGGAATGTGTAACTGAAAATATTTGTAATGAAGAAAATGAAAATAAAAGTAATCAAAATTTTCATTATAAATGGGGAAAAGATACATCTGATGCATATGGGAAGAATATTAAAACTTTTGATTCTATTATATTAAAAAATGATAATGATAATAATGATTATAATAATGTATGGTGTGATAAGTATGATAAAGGATATGGTAGTGAATGTAATGATGAAAAAAGTGAAATGAATCATATATGTAATAGGTTATTGAAAAAAAAGAGAAATAAAATTTTAAATGAGAAAAAATTAATACAGTTAAAATATATAAACGATAATAATATAACGAATCATTCCATGAAGCTAAACCGAGAAAATGATTGTAATAAAGAAAATATTAATAATTTATGTGGCAATAAATCTAATACATTTGAAATACGTAAATATAATGAAAAATTCCCAATTAGTAGAAATTCTAGTATAAAAAATGAACAAAAATCTAATGATCTCATTAAAAAAGTAAATAAAAAAGAGAATGAAGCACTATGTATTTATGATATAAATCGAAGTAAGCAAAATAATTCTTTTAATAATAAAGCATTACCAAAAAAATATATATTATCTACTACTAATAATAATAATAAAAAAGAAAAAAGTTCTGAAAATTTAATTATTCATAATAAGGAATACAATAAAAATGAAAAATATGGAAATAATTTTAAAATGAGAAAAATAGAAGATAAGAAATTTAATGAAAATGAAAATAAAATTATAGATAAAGTTCCTTTAGATAAAAAGAAAAATAATAAAAGTATACTTTTAAAAAAGTTACAAAATGATATTAGTAATATAAAGAATGATATATTAAATGAAAAGATTAGGGAAAATAAAAACTTAAAAATATGCGATGAAAATTCAGATTATTCAGATAGCATAAATTATAATGAGACGAAACATATAATGAATATATTGGATAATAAAGGTGAAAATATAAATGAAGAAGGCTGCAAATATTATTTATTAAACTTAAAAGAAAAATTAAAGAATAATTTAAAAAAAAAAAAACATAAAAAGTATATTAATAAAATTTATAAAACTATGAAATATATTTTTACTGAATATAATAAAATGAAAAAGGAAAAAGAGGATGCTAATAAAAGAAACGAATATTTAAAGTTTTTATTAGAAAATACAATAGCGAAGACTAATGAAATGTTAAGAATAAATAAAAATTCATTTCAATCTTATATAGACAAAATGCAAAAGGAAAATATGATTTTAAAAAATGAATTAGATGAAGAATCTTATCAACACCATTATGATTTGCAACAATTAGTTAATAAAATAACAAATATGGAAAAAATAAAAGATTATATCATGTATCAGAATGAAGAATATAATAAAAAAATTATAGCATTAGCATTGGAATGTGATAAATTAGAAAAAAAAAAAAATGAATTACATAGTATTGTTAATGAGTATAAATTAAATTTAGAAAAGGAAAAAAAAAAAAAAAAGTATATTTTAAGAAAAGTTGAAAATTCTCTTAAAGGATGGGAAACAGATTATAATGAACTAAAGGAAAAATATAATTGTATAAAAGATAATAATGAAGAACTTATAAAAAGTAATGAAGAATTAAAACATGAAACACTTAAATTGAAAGAAGAATTATACCATAAGGATGTTGTAATTAACAAAAAAATTGAAAAGATTAATGACCTAAATATGAATTACGTTTCATTAAAAAATGATTATAAAAATAATGTAAGTGATAATATGTACACCAATAAAACATATGACGACCTTTTGTCTAAATATGAAGCAATGGAAGAATTTTTTAAAAAAAATACAGAAAAATTAGAGAAAGAATTATTAGAAAAAGAAAAACAAATTCAAATATTTGAAAAAGAAAAGAAAGTTATCCAAGATGAGTGTTTAGATGTTTCAAAAAATGTAACTACATTAAAAAATAAATCAAAAATTTTGAATAATTACAAAAATAATGATGATTCGTTGAAATTATTAATGGAAAATTCAATTAACACTATTTTTAAAAACCTAGATAATGTAGAAGAGCTTAAAGTAAATGAAAATTTGAAAAATAAAATTATTGATGTTGTCAAAAACTTTATGACTAACGAAAGTTTACTTAAAATGTATAATTGTCATAACGATAATTTAAGTAGAAATAGTAAATCCGATGATAGTAATATAGATAATAACACAACTTACTATAGTAATAATGAGAGTAGTATTGAATTAAGTAATGATATGAAAAGCATGCTAAATGAAGAAAACTTAAATAATTTCAATAATCATAATAAATTTTTTAAAAATAAAAAACTTAAAAGAACAGTAATAGAAGAAATGAAACAAATTTTATTATCATTGGAGAAAAAGAAAAAAAATTCTAAATATGACGAGAAAATAGATGAATTATTATCAGAAAAGGATATGGAAGGCGTAAAAAAATTATTAAAAGACAATATCATTAACAATAAAAATATCGATACAAAAAAATCATCTGATGGAACACCTAGTGAAAGTAATGATAGCATAGGAAAAAACAATAAAAAAAAAAAAATAAAAAAAAATATTGTTAATCATAAAGAAAAAATGTTTAATTACGATATTGAACAAACAGTAAATCTTAAAAATAAAATTAATGAATTAACTGAACTAAATAAAAAAAAAAAAATAAAAATATTAGATAAAAAAGTTGATGAGATAAAAGAAAATTATGAAAACGACTGTCAAGTAATAGGAATATGTGAAGATAAAAAAAAAAAAAAGGATGATGATAATAAAAATGAAATAAATGCAGAAGTAATAAACATTAAGGATACCTTTCAAAATTCTAAAGAAAGATATTTAAAAACAAAAATTAGAAATTTAAATAAGAGTAGTATAAAAAAAATTATAAAAAATAATATAAGGAATGGTACAACATTGGAAGATACAGTTAATAATTCATTGGATAATAATACACAAAATGAAAAATATAATGATTTAAAAAATAACACAAAAAAAATTGCACACAAAGAAAATGATAATGATAAAAATAAATCAAACAAAAATACACAATTAAAAGAAATTATAAATAATGATTTTTCTTCATTACAAAATGAAATTTTAACAAATAAAGATGAATATTTAGAAGGGATATCAAAGTTAAATGATACTGTTGAGAAAAAAAACATCAATAATGATATAAAGATCCTATTAGATGGTACAAAAGAAATAAATTCAAATAATTTAAGAAGTCAAAATGTAAATAAAAATTCCAAAAAAAAAAAAAAGTCATTTAATGCTATTTTAGATAAGATTTTTGATACACCAATAGATCATTCATCTATAAATGAAAATATGTTAAATATTCAAGATTCAATTGAGAATAATATTAAAAATATTTTCAACACTCATGATTATTAAAATTATTGTATTAAAAAATTAAGATATTTTTTATCATATATAAAAAAAAAAAAAAAATATAATAAAATAAATAAAATAAAATACAAATATTTTTTATCATTTTTTTTTTTTTTTTTTTTATATATATATATATGTATTCTATTATAAAAATAAATTTTTAATAAATAAAAATTTTGTTCCGTTTTTTTTTTTTTTATCCCTTTTTTTGTTTCATAATTTAAAAAAAATAAAAGATTTTGTTTTAATACTTCTTTTTGAAAACTGCATTATATATTTTTTTATTGTGATGAACTCTTGTAATTTTTAAAAATATATACATTAAAATTTTTTAACGGAATTTTTTTTTTTTTTTTTTTTTTTTTCACACACAATTAAGGTGAAAGAATATTCTTTTTAATTATATATATTAATATATGTATAATATATTTTTTTTTAAAATTACACAAACGTGTTATTATTTTTTTAAATAATATGTTTATTTGAACAAAAATTCATAGCTTTCTTCTTTATCTTTTCAATATAAAAAGATTATATTTTTTTTTGCATTTTTTTTCATTCAACCAAATACGTTTTAAAAATATTAAAATGCTATAGTAATTAACATAAAAAAAAATTATTTGTATTTCTTAATAATTTATAACTTTTTTTTTTTTTTTTTTTTTTTTTTTTTTATTATTATTATTTTTATTTTAGTCTTCAGATCATTAAAATTATATGCTGTTAATTTTTTATTTTTCTTTAAGATATACAAACGGCATAATAAGTGAAAATTTATATAAAAAGAATTAGTATTTTTTTTTTATTACAACAATTTCATTTGGATAATACAAAGGAAAAAAAAAATTTTTCATACTATTATGCATTATTTTTTTTTCTAAATACATTTTAATACTTTTCCAACAGAAACAATAATTTACAATTCTTTAACTATTTTATTTTAGAGAACAATTATAAATAAAATAAGACATCTTTAAAAAAATATATATATTCAAATGAAAAAAATTTTTTTTTTTGTTATAGGATTATTTTATTATTTTTCGTCTTCTTACATTCGTTTCTTTTTTATTTTCCTTATAAGTGTCTTGATATAACATTAAATGTTTATGTACAGTGGTTTTCTTGTGAAAACGAAGATATAAATTTTATATATTTCATTAATATTAAAAAATATCTCCAAAAATAATATTGAAAAATGTAATAAATGAAAATGGATATAATGGACGAAACTCAAATAAATAATAAAATAAAAGTTTTAAATGTTTTTCAGAATGAGGATATAGCAGAAAATACAGAAAAACAGCATTTTTCTAATAAATTTGAAGTATGAATAGATAATTAAAATATAAATTAAATATTTTTATAAATAAAATACCAATTTTTTTTTTTAATGTATTCATGTTTTTTCTTATTATGAAAAAAAATTTTATTGAATTCCTTTTTGAAATATTTTAATAATAGTTTCATTTCCTTAAAATATATTGGTTCTACTTTCTATTTATTTAACAAATAATTTAAAGTAGTTAACATATATATATATATATATATTAATATTTTTACCAATATTATATGTGAAATTTTTTTTTTTTTTTTTGTATTTTGTTTTAGTTTGAAAAAGGAATAATACGTAATGCAATAGTTTCATCAAATACAAATAAATTTCCAAAATTGAATGAAAAAGAAAAAGAGAAAAAAAATTGTATTATATTTCGCGAACAATGTGAATACTGTTTAACAAATTATTCAATAAGTGGAAATTTAATTTTAACTAAAGAATCTTTATTATTTGAACCAGATTTAAGAGATAAAAATGTTATAACTAATGGTTTTGGTACATATCAGATATTTATTGATTTATATGATATCTACGAATGTGCTCACATTGTAGTACCAACAAAAGGTACCTACTTATATAATAATGAGGAAACATGTGGTTTTATTCAAGTTTTATTAAAAAGTATATATAACAAAATAAGTGATGATACAACACACAAAAAAAATTGTAATAATATTAATAATAATAATGGTATCGATAATAATAATACGAATAATGAAGTTAGTAAGCAAAAAAGTATATCTTACTATAAATATATAAGCAAAAGTTTATCTTTCGTATATAATTTAGCTCATCCATTAGTTCAAAATACATCATTTAAAGATTATAAAAATGATAAAAATAAAAAAAGTGATTCAGCTGGTTCATCTACCGACATGTCAAAACAAAGTGAAAAAAATGAAAATGAGGAAAATACATTAACAAAAAAAAAAAAAAATAGTTTTATTAATTTTGATATAAATTCAAAATGTAATATTATAGATCATTTGCATGATAGTGATTTAAAAATTTATCAAAAAATTAATGAAACAAATTATAGTAATGTATCTTCATCCCAACCAATTATTACATATAAAAATAATTTAAATTTAGTTAATTCTAATTCCTTTTATAAAGAAGACATCTCTAGTAATAATGGAAAAAAAAAAAGTGATATATATAACTTAAGAGAATATGAGAGCCTGAAAGAGGGATTTACACAAAATGAATTATTAAAAAAGGATAATGGTGAAAAAATTGTAAATATAAATAAAAACTGTCATGAATGTGATGAAGATAAAGAATATAATATAATCAAAAGTGAAAATAATGAATGTGTAAATTATAAATTAAAAGATATTTCATTGAAAAATGACAATTTTAATGGAAATGATAAAAAAAATCCAGATAAAATAGAAACAGAAGTAATAAATTCACCGATTTGTCAAATTCAAAACTCTACTTCTAATAATATAAAGAAAAATTCTTCTGATATACACAATAATGATTTAGATTATAAAACAAACATTGCTCCTAATGATTTATTAAATGATAATAATAATTTAAAAGAAGATTTGAAGAATAAATTAAGGACAGATATTGAAAACGAAATAAACAAAAGATCACATAAAAAATATGAAGAAAAAAGTTTTATATTATTTAGATTTTTTAATAATAATAAAGCATATGAGACAACAACTAAAATAATTAAAGAAATTGATGAAATTAGAAAATCTGAAAATAAAATAGAAAAAACAATAACTTCAGTGCCATTTACATCTAATGAGTTACTAAGATGCATTATTGAGCAATCATTAAAAACAAATGAATCAAAAAAAGAAGAAAGATCTACTTCATTAAATGATAATAGAGATCAAAAATACCAAGTATTAGTACCAAAACTTGAGTATATTAATGGTTCTGCTAAATTATTAAGTAAAGAAATGACTAAACAAATAAACTATTATTTGCCACCAACATTAAGTATTAAAATATGGAAGTTAGCTTTTTGTTCAAGTATTCATGGAGTATCATTTAAAACCTTATATAGAAATGTTTTTAATAAAGGAAGTGTAATTTTATTAATATATGATATGAATAATGTATTATTTGGATATTTTTTAGACAAACTACATTGTGATAATTGCTATTATGGTTCTGGAGAAAACTTTTTATTTACTTTTAAAAATTCTAATGATAAAATAAGAGAGAATAATAATAACAGTACAAATGATATTAGTAAAGAAATTGTAAAAGACATATCTAATTATCCTACTCAAGTATCTTCAGAAAAAACCTTTGAAAAAATAGAGAATATTGATTTTTCTATAGAAAATAATAAAATAAATAGACAAAGTAATAACACTGAAAATACAAGTTCAAATATCAATTTGACTGATAATTTAAAAAATAATTGGAAAGAATCAACTAAAGAATACTCTAATCAAGATTTAGTTAATTCAAACTCTAATAATTATTTTAATACATTCGATACGCATACAATTGATACATCTAAAAAAATTCACAATTATAGTACATATGGTACCAATGAAGAATTATGTAATTTAATTAGCCAAATAAATACTCCAAATTATCGTAAAAATACTTGTACTACTGAAAATTATACATTATATGAAAATAATAATAATTCTGATAATAATAATAATTCTACTAGTAATAATAATAATAATAATAATTCTACTAGTAATAATGAAAATAATAATACTTCCATACAAGTTTATATGTGGACAACTAAAAATAACTATTTCGTTTATTCTGATGAAAAATCAATTATGATTGGAGGTGGTGATAATTATGCACTAGTTATTAATGAAGATTTATGCAAAGGACAAACAAATAGAAGTAACACTTATGATAATGATTTATTGACTTATGATGAAGAGTTTGAAATTCAATTTTTGCAATTATGGATTTTTGAAGATTATTAAAATCAAATAAAAAAAAAAAAAAAAAAAAAAAAGGAAACAATAAATTGCAAATTTCTTTTATTATATATATACATATATATAATACTATGTATTACAATTTTTGTTATTATCTTTATACATTAGTCTTTATATGAATATCTATTTTTAAGCATAACTACACTTTTGTAGCATTTGCACAATTTCGTATTCTTTTATAATAATTAAAAAAAAAAAAAAATGGAAAATTTTTTTTTTTGTTTTTTTTATATACATCTAAATAATTTTTATGACTTTCAATGTTATTTATATATATTTATTATTTTTTATTCATTTTTTTCTTTTTTTTTTTTTTTTTTTGAAGTTCATACTAATAAACATTAGATAGAGCAAAACGATTAATTTATTAATTCTGAAATATTTGTAAAATAAAAAAAAAAATGGAAAAAAATGAAAGTCTATTGAGATAGAAACTTTGAAATATTATAATATTTTCATTATACTTTAGGGTATATATATATATATATATATCTTTTTTTTTTTTTTTTTTTTTTTTTTTTTTATCTTAAAGTAAAAAATAATTTATGTTAATTATATTCATAACAAATTTTTTATGAAATAGATATAAAAATGAAAATAGACATTTTATAATAAAAATTATTTGAAAATAGCTCTTCCAATTCTTAATTGAGTTGTTTGATGTTTAATGGCTAATTCTAAATCGTCTGACATTCCCATACTCATATGAAATTTTTTTTTATGAAAATAATTATTTATAGTTTTATTGTTTAAAAGTCTATTTTTTATATTGTTAAGTATAATAAATGAATTTTCTCTTTTACTTATTTCCAATGATGATATAGTCATTAATCCTTTAAATATTAAGAAATTACAATTTTGAATAATGTATAAAACTATGTTTTCAATTTCCTCATAATTATCGTGTATTATTCCTGTTTTATTTTCATCATCAGCAGTTTTAATTTGAATTAAAACACGAATTTTTTTTAAATTTTCATTTGTATTTAAATTATCTTCATTTATAATTTTTAAATAATTATTTAATAGTGTTGCTTTCTTTTCCTTATCTATGCTTTCTATCATATATAAATTTTTAACTTTTAAAATATTTTTGCATTTATTTGATTGCAAGTTACCTATAAAGTGCCATTTTATTGAGTTAGGTAATTGTTCAGATTTTTCTATTAGTGAATCAAGGTAATTTTCTCCAAAATGATATTTTTTATCATAAGAATGTATGTCATTTATTTCATTATTTCCTATGTATTTAGTTACTATTAATATTTTTGGTGTATTAACTGAACATTGTTCAGAAATCGTTTTTACTTTATTTTCAATATTTTTTAAATTAGTTATATATTTCATCAGTAATTTCTAATTTATATAAATGTAAAAATATGTAGTATAAATATAATCTTGTCTCAGATATGAGTAAGATTCAACAAAAAGAAAAAAATTTTGAAGAGGTTAATAATTTTATATGATTAACAACCTTAATATTTCATGTTATTTGTATTTATGAAAATATAAAAAAATAAAAGTTCATATCGTAAATTTTTTATTATTAAAGGAAGAAAGAAAAAATATATTATAATACGTAATGTGTATACCCTTTATACTCGTGGTTTTACTTAAATATTTTTAATAAAATTTGAAATAGAATCAATAAAATGATTAGTGTCACTTAAAATATTTTATACTTTAAATATTATATGAAATTTTTTTGAAATTAAAATTGTTATGAATCTAACATATTTAACTGAATTTTTATTTAATTAAATTTTTTGATAAATATAATAAAAGGAGATATAAAAATAAGAAAAATTAAAATTTGAAAAATGAACAAATTAAAAAAAAAAAAAAAAAGAGTAAAAAAGTCTCAATAAGTATATAACAAAACACATAAGAATAAATTACAAATAATGAAATATATAATTATGGTTTAAGGAAAAAATAATATCATATTTATATTTACAATTATTTATTTTTTTTTTTTTTTGTTATTATAATCAGAATCATCAAATATAAGTATTAATGTGAATAAAAAAAAATATAACAATGATAAGTACATATAAAAATAAAATGGATAATTTTTAAAATTTACCTTTTTATTTTTGTCATAATGTAATAAATTTCGTACAGGTAAAAAATATTCTAAGTTTAAAATGTTATAACCTTTTCTCAAGTAGTATATTTGAAATTTATAAATACCATGCTCACCTGGTAACTTAATGTTTTTATAATATGTAGCATTTTTTATACATTTATAATTATATAAAAAATTTCTAGATTTTACATTGATTTTAATTAGCTGATATTGAATATCATCTCTTTTAAAAGGAATCCAATAATTGTTCCTTAATTCGTAAAAATCTATAGAAATATAAATGGTATCTTTGATAAAAAAATTAGAATTTTCTTTAAATGTTCTTTTATGTATTTTAAAGTTATTATAACGAATAACACCAATTTTTTTTAAATTCCACTGTATTAAATCATAAGTGAAATTTTTATTTTCTTCATTTAAATCAAAATAAAAATCTGAAAATATATCAGATGAAGAAGAAAAAATTAAACGGAAGTTATTTTCCAGCTGAATAGAAGATATTAATAATAATTCTGTTCCTTGTTTTTGCTTTTTTATAATATTATTGTTTTTTCCATACAATAAACATGTTTTAGTACAAGTTAAAACTTTTAGGTAATATTTTTCTTTCAGCAAAACCGAATGAGCCGTTCCTTTAAATAAAATTTTATGTTTATTATTTGTTATTGGTGTATTTTGTATTATTTCACTTGTATAAAATGATTTTTGTAATTTTTCATCATTTGTATCTTCTTTTAAAAAAATATTATCAAAAATATCATTAACGTAAGAATAATTTCCATGAACACTTATGTTTAATTCATTTAAAAAATGAACAGAATTTTTTCCTACAACACTATTTAAACTAAAAAAAATGTGCTTTTTTTTTTCTATAAACAATTTTAAGTAACTAACTTTTAACTTTGTAACAATTTCATCATTTAAAATGTCCAATATAATTACTAATCCATCATATATAGAAGAATCTTTTTTATCGAAAATTATGCTATTAGTAGCATTATGAATATTTATAATATTTTTTATATGATTCCCCTCATTATTTAATAAATTTATAAAGCTCCTGTGAGTTTCTGTAATATTAATTATATTTGTTATTAATAATAGTTTTTTTTCATGAAATTTTTTTATTTTGTTTTTTATTATGCCTTCAATAGATTTTTTATTATAATCAACAATTTCTAGCTTTTTTCTTTCACATATACATTTTTTTTTAATAACAAAAAATAATAAGAAAAAATATATTTTTATTATTATTTTCATGGTTTATTCAATGAAAAAAAAAAAGTAATCATTTACATTTTAACATAATGAAATAAAGTTAGGAAATATGAAAATAAATAAATATGAGAAATGGTACATTATTACAGAAGACAATTACAAACTAAATATAAAAAAAAAAAAAAAAAAAATTTAAATATATGTTATACAACTTACATCTATTATAAAATCCATGATTTAATTTTATATTATAATGCTTCATTTTATTACATTTAAGAAAAAAATAATTTTCCAAAATTATATTTTTTTCATTGAAATTTTAGATTTTATTGAAAAATAATTACAAAAAAAATATTATTAAAAAAGTAAAATAAAATAAAATGACATAATATGAAAATGATAACATAGTGAACTTAAAGCTACTGTATCGCATTAAATGAAATAAACAATGAAAATAAAAAAAAAAAAAAAAAAAAAGTGAAAAGGTGATAAAACTTAGAAAATACATAAAAAATAATTATATTTATAAATAGAAATTTTATTCAAAAAAAAAAAAAAATAAAAAAAAACAAAAAGTCTACGAAGTTAAAATAACTTAAAGTGTTAAATTTAACGAAAAAAAAAAAAAAAATTTAAAACAATGAACTAATTAAATAAATTTATTCAAAAAGAATTAATATTGTTTAAAAAATGTATATTATAAAAAAGGATATAAAAAATCAAAAATATAAAAACATGTTATTAAAAATTATGCTTAATTTTTTAAGTTTTTTTTTTTTCTTTTTTCTTAGAAAATTAAATATTTCTATAGAAATTTTTTTTTATATTTTAAATTTCCATTTGACACAAATATTATATTATTAAATGTTAGGACTTTCCGAATTTAGAAATTTAAATTCATCATTTATATATATTTATAATTTTATTATTTCTTATTAGAACTTTTTTTAGCTATAAGTTCTTTATCTTCCTTATAAAAGGAGTTAAAACATATAATAGACACAATAATTGATACTAAGAATATAATAAATAAATAGGCATAATCTTGTTTGCTAGCAAATTCAAATATAAATGATATTATAAAAGCACCTATAAAAAGAGGGTAGTATGAACAAAGTGCTCCTACAACTTTACATTCTTTTGGAAACATCTCAAAAACGTGAGTCCATATCATATGCCCAAACCCTAATGATAATCCAATGAAATAAGTAGCATAGGATAAAGTTACAATAATTTGATTTAAAAAGTTTTCTAAAGATAAAAAATAAGTTATAACTAAACCAGCAGATGCTAAACCTTGCACCACCAATCCTATGATTAATAATTTTTTTTTTTGAACATGTTCTGCTAGAAAGGTAGATATTATTGTAGAAATCACATACAATAAAATAAATCCTACAGATATAAATGTGTTTAACATTGTAGATGAAAATAATCTGTAAAATAGGAATATTTTTGTAAAGAATAAAAAGCAGCCATTAAATGAATACAAATAACATAAAAAGCTTCCAGTAAAAGATGCTTTTCGTAAATTTTTGTTTTTCAAAAAATCAATAAGTGGTAAGTCCTTATATAATAATGTTACATCATTGGTGGCAGGATTCATATGATATTCTTTTTTTTCATCAAATTCTTTCACATTTATTTTCGTTTTTAATTTTTCAAATTTTTCATAATTTTTTGTTACATATAAATGTAATGGGGTATCCAATTTAAATACAAAATGTAAAAGTATTAAAGATATGAGACTAAATATCATAGGTAAACATAAGTGTACCTTATATAATATTTTAATAACCAAGTCTGTTGTTCGTGGATTTTGAAATTTTATATTCTCATAACAAGCACCAAATATATAACTAATTAATATTCCAATAGAAAAAAAAGTTTGAATGTAGAATCCATAAAAATTCTGATATATTTTTGGTGAATATTCTAGTACATAAAAACAAACAATAACAACTGAACATCCAATAGCTAACCCAAAAAATGCTTGAGAAAATAAAAATATAATAATATGAGGAGTATTGTAAATTGTTAACAAACTTCCAATAATGAATAAGTAATGGATTATTATAATAAATTTTCTTCTGTCCGTATTTTTAAAAAATAGAGAAGTAAAACATCCAAAAAAGGAACTCATATATAATATAAAATAAAACATTGAAAAGTACCATTTTTCTTTATCACACCCTCTATATCCTACTGGGCATAATTTGAAATCATCAACTATCATTTTTCTAGCTAAATTTGTTGAGGATAAGCATAAGCCGCAATTTATTACGGCTAAACAAGCGTTGCTAATAACTTTAGTTAAATATAGCATTTTAATGAAGCAACAAAAGGAAAAAAAATAAATAAAGCAAAAATAAAAATAAAATAAAAAGTAAGATGTTACACAATGTAATCAAATTAAAATATATTGTGAATAAATATATAGCATATGCGTTTATAAAAAGTTGAATTAACTTTCTTTCATGTAATAATTGTATTAATGTCTTTTTTTGTTTTTATTGCTTTTTTTTTTTTTTTTTTTTTTTTTTTTTTTTATTTTTTTTTTTAATTAACACACATACATGCTTATGTGAAATGAGACAAAAATTAATGGTTGCATTTTACATATTTATATTATTATGATGAATGGGATTATTTTGCATTTTTTATGTATTGGATAAAATAACACTTAAAAAAAAAAAATAAAAAATATTATATAATATAATAACATGTTCAGGCATTAAAAAGAAAATTACGAATATATAAAAATATAAAATAATAATAAATGACTATATAAATTTCATTATTTACAAAATCACAAGCTCCTGTGATAACATAAAAACGGTAAGTAGAACAGAAGTAACAACAAAAAAAGATCAGCATTCATTAAATTGAATATTAGTAATGCATGTATTTTGAGTGAATTATTTTTTTTTCAAAATTTTTATGAAAAAATTACAGATACATGTGAGACAGAGATCATGTTGTAGTTATTTGTATTTTATATTGTCTTTTTTAATAATTTGTAAATAAATTTAATTTCCTCTAAAATTTTTGGAAATTTTTTTATTCATTAAAAAAAAAAAAAAAAAAATAAATAAACTTGAAAAAAATATATTAATTTAAAGTTTTTATAAGTCTTCTTCTATATCTTCTAACATCTCATCCACAATGTCAATTAATGTATCTAACTTGACAGGGAATAGAAAAACTTTTCTTCTTTTTAATTTATCTTCTCCTATAAAAAAAAAAAATAAGTAAAATAATTAAATAAATAAATTAATTTAAACGAATATTTATAAACACATAAGAGTAAAAATATAATAAATCATATATTTATATATTCATATATAACCCTTTGGATAAATGGCTAAGGTTGGAAAAAATTCAACAGTTTCATCAATCATGTCATTTAACTTTGCATCCATTGTTGCAACTAATACATTTTTATATTTGTTCTCTAAATGAAAATAATTAGACACACTTTCCCAAAAAGATAATATTGGTTTACATTCTTTACATCCTTGAACATGATAAAAAATCAAAACAATTCTTTCAGGATCGAAAACAAAAGATTCAAAATTATTTGTACATATTATTTGATAATGCTGCTGTTCTCTTCTTTTGATAGGTTTCTGAGATTTTCTATATTGAGTAATTTTGTTGTTATAAAAATCTTCTATAAAATTTTTTACAATTTCTGATTTTATATCTCCATCAATCTCTTTAATGAATTTTTTTGGTCTTAGTAATTGATATACAGCATCAAATGATGCATTTCTATAGTCTAAGATACATACTAAATTCATATCATGCTCTAATTGAAACAATTCAGATTTTTCTTCACTTTTTGGAAATACGAATTTTATCTATAAAATAGAAATGTATACATATGTTTTCATATTATGATGAAATAAAAATAAAATAAATATAGAATTTATATTAATTAAATGGAGAGTAATGATCACAATATATATGTAGAAATTTTCTTACTTCGGGATAATTTTTTATAACATTATATAATTCTGCGTATAAGGATTCTGAATAATCACCTAAATTACTAAAAATATAAAAATAAATATCATTATTTATTGGTCTTATTATTTTTCTACTGTAATTAATTATAATTGGAAATTGATCCATATAATCTTTCGTAAATTTATATATCTTATCAGAGACCCAAATATTATTGTCTGGGATATATACATCCTTATATCTAATTAAATCATTTGGAATTGTAGATCCTGGTCCATTAAAAATTTCTATTTTTGTTTCTTCTTCTTTTTCAACATAAGCTAAACCAACAGATAAATTGGGTATTTTATGAGTTTCACCAAAATGAACAAATTTATGAGCATTATCAGAATTCTTAATAGCAAATGCAATAATGCTGGCATATCCTTTTTTTTTTTGTAATTCAACATATTTATCTACATTAGTTTTGTCCATAACTTCAATTGATGGTAATGGCAATAATTTAAACCATTCGATTATATTTTCCTTTGTATACTTCTTACTAAATGTATATCCTTTTTCTGGATCAAAATCTCTGAATGTTAAAATTTTTGGAACATTTTTTATTTCAAAGTTATCAGCTGTTTTTGGAAGTGTCAACGTATCAACATATACAAAAACTATTTCATTATCTACTAGCTCATTTGAAGCTTCAATAAATTCTTTATATGCATTTTTACATTTTAATTCCTTATTATTACAAAATAAAGCAATAACATTTTCAGAATGTTGACTGTAAATTTGCAACTCAACTTCGTGAGTTAAATGCTTTATATTTTTAGTTTCTTCTTCACTTATTCCATCATCTGTTACACACTGGATAAACTGAAATTTAATATAGAAAAAATATAAAAAAAAAAGATAAAAAGAATAATTTAATTTTACTACCATTTTTGTGTAATTCTAAATATTATTAAATAACGTTATAGTTGTAAATTAACATAAACAATCTTAACGAAGTCAATATTTCAAGATGTATATCAATATTGCATTTATATTTTTTTTTAATTTATTGAATTAAAAATAAATGTGTAATGCAAATGAATATTTTCTTATTAAATTTATATGTTTTTGAAGTGCTAATCATTTATCATTACAAAAAAAAAAAAAATAAATGAAAAAGAACAAATAAATAAAATTTTATGTTTAATTAGTATTCTCTATAACTTAAAAAAAATTAGAATTATAAGGGAAAAAAAAAAAAAAAATTATAATAAAATAAAATAAATAAAAGAATATAAATTTATTTATTTATTTATTTGATTATATATTTTTATTTTTCCCTATATTTATAAAGAAATAAATTTTACGAATTTCATCGCTTTATAAAAGTGGAACATATTTTTTATTGAAAACTAAAAGTTATTTTTTTAATTTTTTTTTAAGAATTCTCAATATTTTATCTTATGTGTAATTTTTAACGTATATGCTTCTTTTTTTTAAATAGTAATATTCATAGGTAAAAAGTTTGGATTCACAAAAATTTTATTCATTTTTGGTGATTTTTATTTTTTCATTATTATGGTAAAAAGGTACAATATACTAGAATCATGTATAGCTTATTTTTATTATTTTTTTTTTCTGTTTTAAAAACTTAGGGTGATTTTTTAGACATTTACATTAAAAAAAGGACCAAAATAAAAGTGAATATATTCTAATAAAATAGTTATTATTAATTTTTTTCATTTATATTTCTTCTTATACGATAAAATATTTTAAAGAAATATGGAAAATATGAGCATAATGTTATAAATGAATAAATAAAAGTTTTATTTTCTTAATGTATGGTTTTAACTGTTATATACAATAGATCTTAATTTTTAAGTGACATATTTTTTGTGAATTTTTTTTAATTCTAATTTATTGCTTTTTTGTTAATTTTTTTAAAACGATTTTTACTTAATAAAAAATTATATAATTATAAGATACTTAAAATTATATAAATTATAAAAGGTTAAAATAATTCAGTAATTTCCACTGATTTATATAAATTTTTTTTTTATTTTTATTATTTTTTTCTATTATATTTAGTGGTATTATCACTTTTAATTTTCGCTATTTTCATTTTTTTTTTTTACAGTATTTAAATTAAAATAATGCTTTTATTTATAGTTTAATTAGTATATTTCACAAATCAACAAATAACAAATAATAAAAAAGAAAAGTTTTAAATGAATCCAAATACATAAAAATTAAAAATAATAAAAGTACAAAAAAAAGTAATTTTATGGAAAAAAAAAATTAGTAACAATAATAGTAACTAAGATGTGGAAAATATAATATAATTAATTAATTCAACATAAAGTAAAATTTATATATGTTTTATTTCTTTTCTAATTAATATTTATCTAATATTAAATAAGAATATACATATGCCATGTAAACATTATTAAATATTTGTAATATTTAGCTTAAGAAAGATTTACAAAAAATTTTCTTTTTCTTTTTATTAAATATTGGTGTTTGTAACTGAATATCTAAATAGTGTTTCTTTTATTTAGAGTATATATGTTATTTCTGTAATCCCACCTTAAAAGACCCTTTTCACCTTCATCCCTGCCACTGCTAATATGTAGAAGTTGTGCTTCTCTTCCATCACTCCCTATGACAATTAAGCAGGGTACGTCGCTTCTAGGTCCTGATCCATATAAAGGAACTTCATGATAGCTCATGACTCTAAAATGCTTTTTCAATATATCTGTTAATGGGTCAGTAATGTCAATGTATAGCCAAGGCATGTGTTTTTTATGGTCTTCGAATGATTTTCTGTCAGAGTCAATACTTACAAAAATAATTTCTATTTTCTGATTTGATCCACCTTCATTTATAGTTTTATAAAACTAAAAAGAATTCGAAATTAATAAAAAAAATTTATAAAAAACCAAATAATATATTTTAAAAAAACAAAATAAGATAAAATAAAGGAAAACCATGGTTACTGATTTGTAGAATAAATTAAATAATTATATATATCAATATATTATTAAACATAAATATATTATTTAAAAATACTATTTTTGTTTTCATATAATTTTAAAAAATTCAAATAAAAAAAAAATTATGTTCATATGTATGTGCATAAATAAGATAAAAAGAGGTAACCTGTTGTAAGAAAGGTAAAAATGATCTACATTTGGGGTCAGATCCATTTGAAAAAAATAAAGCCACAGATTTTCCAACTAAATGCTTTTCGCTTACTACGGTGTCATTGATATTTTTTAATGATCCTTCTGGAAAAAGTACAAGATCTATAAAAAGATGAAATATAATTATATAATTTCATTAAAATTTATATATTTATAGATTATTAATTTGACAGTTTTATTAAAAAACTTATATACCCATGTCTGTATAATTAATAGGTATATTTGTAGAATCAATATTATTTACATCTACATTTTCAGATGTCCTTCTTTTTTCCGCTTGATAAGGAGAGTTGAAATTAACACATGCCATTTTAAAGATATATAAACGAAATATTAAAAGGTTTAAAATATAAAAAAAGTGAAAAAATTATAGTTTTGTAAACAAAAAAAAACGAAAAAATTAAATTTCCATACACAAAGTGAATAAAAAATATGGTCTTTTAAAAGTATTAATTCAAATGCAAGAGAAAAATAATATCATAACAATATTTTTTTTTTATAATAATTATTTAAATTTTCATATTTTAAAATAAAATAATAATGCTTTTATTTAATTACAACATTTTTTTTTTTTTTTTCTTATATGTTCATTTAAGAATTTCAGCTTGCCAATCATTTAAAAAATAGTGTTCATAAAAAATTTTTTATAGGGTTATATCACCTCACATTTTTTATATGCATTCAGGGGACTTTTTTTTTTTATGCTAGCCATATTCATAAAATTATATAATAATAGAATCAATTAGTAATACATTTTATATGAATATAATGAACAAATTCATCTTTTCCAAATTTTAGAAAAGGAATATATTTTATGTAATGTTAAGATAGGGATGCTCATTATTGAATATTAATTTTCATTCAGTATTAAATATTCGGGAGTGAAATATTAGAAGTATTATATAAGTTTTTAATCATTTTTCACCTTACCAAAAAAAAAAAAAAAAAAAAAAAAAAATATA